TTACTGGATTTTGGTGGAGAGAAAACAGTGTCTCCAGTCTTCCCTATTGGTGATAAATATTTTGTAATCGTTTTGCAGGAAGATCTGTCATCATCTTTCCTTCGCCTTTTGCATGCCTATCAATTTAAGAAAAAAAAAAAGCAGTTATTTCAAACAAAATAATCCAAAACATGAATTGTAAACACAGATCTAATATTTTACCTAACTGGATAAAAAAAGGAAGGCTCCCTTAGGTAATGAACCTGATATATTAGAAAAAAGAGCTTTTTTTGCTTTTTTAAAAAATTTGTCAGAGAGAGAGCACAAGCAGGGGGAGCGGCAGGCAGAGAGAGACTCCCCGCTGAGCAAGAAGCCCGACAAGGGGCTCCATCCCAGGAACCTGGGATCATGACCTGAGCCAAAGGCAGACGCTTAACCAACTAAGCCACCCAGGCACCCTGAAGAAAGAGCTTTAAAATTAAATCTACATTCAAATCTCAACATCACATCAGGCCATACACTTATAATTTGTGTATTTTACTTTATATATACTTAAATAAAAAGTTTCAAGGCCACTATACTTATGTACAAATCGTGTTCATTTCTGTTGGCCTCTGTTTACTCTATAACCTTTGAATAGTACCACCCACCCCACAAAATTTGTAACGAACACATTGCATAAAAATATGTGAAGTCAAATGCATGGTGGGGACTCTACAAATATTAATTCCATTCCCTTTTTCCTTTTTTAGTTAAAAACAAATTATTCTTGGGGCGCCTGGGTGGCTCAGTCAGGTAAGCATCCATCTCTTGATTTCAGCTCAGGTCATGATTTCAGGGTCATGGGATCAAGCCCCTGGTCGTTGGGTTCTGTGCTTTTTTTGCTTTTTTAAAAAAGCAGAGATTCTCTCTCTCCTTCTCCTTCAGTCCTTCCCCCTCCTGAACTCTCTCCTTCTCTCTAAAATAAACAAATAAATCTTTAAAAAAAATCGTTCTATTTCTAAGAAATAGACACATAGTGAACAAACCTATGATCCTCAAATTCACTAATCAAGTAAAAATTATGGTGAAGGACACTTACCACAAATTAAAAAAAAAACTTACCAGTGTTTTGTTATTAAAAGTTACTGCCTGCCTCCTATGTTATTACCCTCACATATCAAGTTGACTATAATACTATAAAGTTATATTTCTGTTGGTCATAAATTAGTAACTTACATAATAGAAAAAATTATTAGCTACAAAAAGCTCCATCAATCTTTTCTGTCATTTTAACTTCCCTTGGTTCATTTGTTAAAATAAACTTTCCAGAATGACAAGGAAATTTTTAGAAAAAGGTAAGTAATGAGGGGTGTCTGGTTGGCTCAGTCAGTAAAGCATGCGACTCTTGATCTCAGGGTTGTGGGTTCCAGCCCCAAGTTGAGTGTAGAGCTTACTTAAAAATAAAATCTCAAAAAAAAAAAAGATAATGAATGGGGGAAATATACTTCTAGAAAATTAAAAGGATCACAAAGCTATCATCATTAAAAACAAAGTACGGGGGGGGGGAAGAAGATAGCAGGAGGGGAAGAATGAAGGGGAGTTAAGTCGGAGGGGGAGATGAACCATTAAGAGACGATGGATTCTGAAAAACAAACTGAGGGTTCTAGAGGGGATGGAGGTGGGAGGATGGGTTAGCCTGGTGATGGGTATTAAAGAGGGCACGTTCTGCATGGAGCACTGGGTGTTATGTGCAAACAATGAATCATGGAACACTACATCAAAAATTAATGATGTAATATATGGTGATTAACATAACAATAAAAATTTAAAAAACATATATATATAAAAACAAAACAAAGTAGTGGGGGCACCTGGCTGGCTCAGTCAGTGGAGCTTGTGACTCTTGATCTTGGGGTTGTGAGTTCGAGCCCCACACTGGGTGTAGAGATTACTTAAAAAAAAAAAAGGCATAGTACTGATACATGAATAAGGTAGCCAACGTAATGGAATGGATTAGAAAACCAGAAAAAGAAATAAGTAAATATTTAAGAACTTGGTATATGGGGGCGCCTGGGTGGCTCAGTTGGTTAAGCGACTGCCTTCGGCTCAGGTCATGATCCTGGAGTCCCGGGATCGAGTCCCACGTCGGGCTCCCTGCTCGGCGGGGAGTCTGCTTCTCCCTCTGACTCTCCTCCCTTTCATGCTCTCTGTCTCTCATTCTCTCTCTCTCAAATAAATAAATAAAATCTTTAAAAAAAAAAAAAGAACTTGGTATATGAGAACAGTAGCATTCAAGTTAGTGAGCAAATAAGTAATAAATGGTATTGGGACAAATTTCTAACCAGTTGGATAAATATGAGGCAAAATTAATTACAAATTAAAATTTTATATGTTAAAATGAAACGGTAAAAGCATTAGAAGAAAATGCTAATGAGCTGTTAGTATTATCATTACCCTGAGATGGTATCAAAAGTATGATACTATGGGCTCTGGAGTCAGGCAGATTTAAGTTCAAGTGCTGGCTCTGACATCTACTAGTACGGTGCCCTAAGCATATTACTTTTAACTTTAAAAAAAATTTTTTTTTAAAGTAGGCTCCACACTGTGGAGCCCAATGCAGGGCTTAAACTCACAACCCTGAGATCAAGACCTGACATGAGATCAAGAGCCGGACGCTTAACCAACTAAGCCACCCAGGTGCCCATTTTTAACTTTCTAATTTACTTTTTCTTTTCTTTTTAAAGATCTTATTTATTTATTTGACACAGAGAGTCTAAGGAGGGGGAGCAGCAGGCAGAGGGAGAGGGAGAAGCTGGCTCTCCAATGAGCAGGGAGCCCGATGTGGGTCCTGATCCCGGGACCCTGAGATCATGACCTGACCCGAAGGCAGATGCTTACCCGACTGAGCCACCCAGGCACCCTTCTAAATTACTTTTTCTAACTTAATTTACTTTTAATTACTTTTTTTTTAAAAGATTTTATTTGAGAGAGAGAGAGAGAGAAAATGAGTGGGGGGGAGGGTTCAGGGAGAAGTAGAGGCAGAGGGAGAAGCAGGCTCCCCACTGAGCAGGGAGCCCGATGTGGGGCTCTATCCCAGGACCCCAGGATCATGACCTGAGCTGACAGACACCTAACAGACTGAGCCACCCAGGCACCCCACTTTAATTATTTTTTTACTTTCTTCTGTCATCCGTATGGATACAGATGATACCTCAGCACAGGGTTGATATTAAGCAAAATAATGTATACAAGGCCCTTACCCTTGCAATACTAAAAGGAAAGTATCATTACTATGAAATAAGGTAAGCAGAGCACCAAAAGCAGAAACTCTAAGGTAAAGCTTGATAAACTGACTGTACAAAAATCAAGAACTGTCTAATTCAACTACCAAAAGTCCCTCTTCACACCCAAGAAAGCTGAGCAACTGCCTTGATTTAGAAAACAAATATCAGCATAACAACTATTAGCAAGTAGACAAAAGTTATTCAATTCTAAAAAATAAGAAAGAGTCCCAGTTCTATAAGTGAACGTACATCTTGGCTCACTTCAAGGACACGAGTATGTGTATTTCAGTTAGAACGCTAGCTTGAGATGAAAAGGTGTAAAAATATAGCAACCATCACTTTTGAGATGCTACTCCATTAGTTCAGGGCATTAAAGTATCTTTGTAAGGACTGCTCAGTGCATTTCACTGAAACTTGGTGAATACATAAGAATAACAGCATTCCATGCTACTAACTGCAGTATCTTAAGCTCTAGAGCCATGAGAAACAGATTTTTTTTTAAGATTTTATTTATTTATTTGACACACAGAGAGAGACAGCGAGAGCAGGAACACAAGCAGGGGGAGTGGGAGAGAGAGGAGCAGGCTTCCCGCCGAGGAGGGAGCCTGATATGGGGCTCGATCCCAGGACCCTGGGATCATGACCTGAGCCGAAGGCAGACGCTTAACGAATGAGCCACCCAGGCGCCCTGAGAAACTGATTTTTTAAATAAAATTACTTTGTTTCACTCCTGTAGTGACAATCTAAGCGGTAGTCCTAGAACAGGTAGGTGGACAGAGTAGTTGAACTTAAAGTCTTTTCAAGCTAAAGTTCTGATTCCTTACGATGAACCCACACTTGATCCTGGGATCCTCTGTGACACTTCACAAGTCCAAAACATCAGGTTCCACCAACATTTGTATCTGGGAACTGGTCGAGGTATCTTTTCAATCCTGACTTTCCTGGCCCGCAAACATCTCACAATCTCAATGTTTGTTAGTACCTATCACGACTTTAGGAAGCGACACACTCCAGCAATTGTTGCACACAATGTCACAGGCGGGGCCTCAGGAGGTCCCTCCTCTCCCCTCCTAGAGCCAAAATCGGAATTACCTTTTACCCACCTCGTACAGACAGAAATACACTAGCTTACCTCAATCTCGTAGTCCTTCACCGGAGGGGGAGCAGCTGCCGCCGCCATGGCCAGGACCCCCACCATGCTCCCGGCTTCCCGGAATACCGGCTCCTAGGGCGTTGTGCGGCCGGGCCCCGCCGGCCTGGAGGCCATGGAGGCGGCCGGCTCCCGCCGAAGGAGCAGCCGGGCCGCGGGGTCCGTCTCCGACTCCCCCGCGCCCACCGGGACGGAACGGTTGCGGAGGCTGGGCCCAGCTCAGCCCAGTCGGACGCGGGAAGAGGCGGTAAGAAAGCGCGGGCAGCGAGGACTCTGGGACGCGGCCGGCGAGCGCGGGGTGCCCTCGATGCGGGCGCCCCAGGCTGAGCGCCGGGGACTGCTACCCCGGCTGGGAAAGCAGGCCCAACGCAGATCGGACCCGCGGGCTTCGGAGAGAGTTCTTGTCAATTGGGTTTTCGCGCCGTCCGGAGCGCAGGGGGCGGAGCTTACGATTGCTTCGGGAGGCTGCGCGGACGGTGAACAGAGAGGGTCAAAATAATTCTCGGGCGAAACTGAAGGAGGCGGGATTGGTCTCGCTGTGGGATTTCAAACTAGCGGGAATTTTGGAGATTCGAACGTCTCACGCCCAGTTTCACGGATGAGAACATGACTAAAGCCCGTTGGTCGCAGAATTAAAACTCTAGATTTTTGATGCCCCAGGCTAACCCTTTTTCAAAACTGGAGATTTGAAAAATACAGGAAAGGAAGTAATTGATTACATTTCTCCCAGACGGAATGTTATTTTGGCAAGCGTCCTACCTTGAAATACGCTCTGCCGGGATCCGAGATTGCGACTTTTAACCCTTAATTGAGCTAAAGAGGCATTTCTTCCCCTGGACTTCGTCCTCGCGGGCAACTAGGAGCCCATCATGGCCTCAGCTGGTTGGAGTGCTCAGCTGTCGCAGGGTACCAGTATTTTGCTGGTTTGTAGTGATGATAATCTCATACGTCATTTGCATTGCTTTCGTGGATTGGTTTAGCTTTGACTTTTTTTTTTTTACATCAGTTGCAGTGACATATAGAGTATGTTTACTTTGTTTGAGTGCATAGTTTTGACTGCATGATATTAAGTGCAAAGTAGGGCAAGTAAAAGGATATATCAAATAATAAGGGAAGCCAACTTGTTACGCCGGGTTATGCATACTCTTTTCAACTACTGACGTTATTGTGTCCATCTTTATACCATAAAGATGGTATTGCTGTTGTTTTGACAGCATAAAGGGTACAAATTTCTCCGATGAAACTGGAGGTAATTATTTTTTCTTTTAAAATTATTAGCCCCGGATAAGGTTTTTCAGGGAGACTGCACTACCTTCAGTCTTCTATATATTGTTTTGTTGTTCTGTTTTATTATTATTATTACTCACCGTAGAGTAAGAACATTGCCCAAGGAGATGGATGAGGAAGAGGACAAGGCAGAGAAATAAAAGAGAAAATTACAGAGAAAACTGAAAGTCCCCTTGACTTTGACCCCCAAATTCAGTGTCTTCCTCTTGGCCCCAGTAGTGGCCATTATTACTTATTCGGTGGGTAGCACTGCAAACATATATACTTTTATATGGATAAGTATATGTATCCATAGAAAAATCTTTAATGTTGTTTTTAATTATAGAAAAGGTAACACTGTAAATATCACTCAGCCTCCTGCTTTTTTCATTCATTATTGTTTTCAAGAGCTATCCATGATACACGTAGATCTGATTCATTCCTTTTCATTCCTCAGCATTCCATCCACCTAGACACATTTTATTTATCCATTTCCTTCATGTTGTCTCCAATTTTCTGTTTCAGTGAATAGGTGAACACTTTTCTATGTCTCCTTGAACATGTGTAATGTTTCTCCAGAAGACACACCTAGAAGTGGAATTGCTGGGTTGTCAGGGTATGTATCTCTAGTGCTTTTTATTCTTCTCAGTTACTAAGCATTTAAACTGCACTGGTTTGTTAAGCATTTGCACTGAGTTTATTTTTAAATATGTAGTTAGTATTTTACACAACTCTTCTTTAGGAGTTAATGACATTTATAAGTTTTAAATTAAATGAGCTCTCACATTTGTATAGCAATTTAGCATTTATGATGTGTCCATGGGGTGTTTTATTATCTTCCCCATCTGGCTAACCCCTACTTTTATTGATTGATTGATTGATTGATTGATTCCTTTTTAAAAAAGGGGGTTGGGGGGGAGGAGCAGAGGGAGAGGGATAAGCAGACTCCATACTGAGTGCGGAGCCCATCGGGCTCAATCCCAGGACTCTGAGATCATGATCTGAGCTGAAATCAAGAATCTGAGGCTTAACTGACTGAGCCACCCAGGCGCCCCACCCCTTTTCAAAAATTAACTTTTATATTTATCAAAGTAATGCCTGTATTTGGTTAATAAATGTCAAAGAGCATTACAAAACTTACTATCAGAAAAGAGCTAGAGCACCTGGGTGGCTCAGTCAGTGAAGCATCCGACATGATCTCAGCTCAGGTCATGATCTTAGGGTTGTGAGACTGAGCCCCATATCAAGCTCCACATTCAGTGGGGAGTCTGCTTGATATTCTCACCCTCTCCTTCTGCCTCTGTCCTGCCCCCTGTTCGTGCTTGCTCTCTCTCTCTCTCCCTAAAATAAATCAATAAATCTTAAAAAAAAAAAAAAGAGCTGATTTCTTTTTTTTCTTTTTAAGTAGGCTTGGGATGCCTGGGTGGCTCAGTCGGTTAAGTGTCTGCCTTCGGCTCAGGTCATGATCCCAGGATCCTGGGATCCAGCCCTGAATTGGGCTCCTTGCTCAGCAGGGACCTGCTTCTCCCTCTGCCTGCCACTCCCCCTGCTTGTGCTGTCTCTCCGACAAATTTTCAAAAAAATTAAAAATAAAAATAAATTAAGTAGGCTCTGTGCTCAGTGTGGGGCTTGAACTCACCATCCTGAGGTCAAGAGTTACGCAATCTTGGGACACCTGGGTGGCTCAGTTGGTTAAGCGTCTGCCTTCGGCTCAGGTCATGATCCCAGGGTCCTGGGATCGAGCCCCGAATCGGGCTCCTTCCTCAGCAGGGAGCCTGCTTCTCCCTCTCTCTCTGCCTGCCACTCCCCCTGCTTGTACCCTCTCTCTCTCTCTCAAATAAATTTTTTAAAAAAGGAAAAAAAAGAGTCACATGATCTACTGACTAAGCCAGTCAGGTGCCCCAAAAAAGAGCTGATTTCTATGTCATACTCTAGTATAATTTCCCAGAGGCAGCCACTTTCAAAACTCTTCTAGCACTATAAATATCTCCTTATTTTTTTAAAGGATTTTTTAAAAAGATTTTATTTATTTATTTGACACAGAGAGACAGCTAGAGAGGGAACATAAGCAGGGGGAGCAGGAGAGGGAAAAGCAGGCTTCCTGCTGAGCAGGGAGCCCAATGCGGGGCTCGATCCCAGGACCCTGGGATCATGACCTGAGCTGAAGGCAGATGCTTAACGACTGAGCCACCCAGGTGCCCCTAAAGGATTTTTATTTATTTATTTGAGAAAGAGAGAGAGAGAGAGTGCTCACGCACAAGCAGGGGGAGAGGCAGAATGAAAGAAAGAGAAACTGGAGCAGACTCCACGATGAGAGTGGAGCCTGATATGGGGTTTGATCCCAGGACCCTGACATCATGACCAGAGCTGAAATCAAGAGCCAGCTGCTTAATCAACTGAGCCACCCAGGCGCCCATCTCCTTATTTTTAAATAGAGCAATATGTTTATACAGCTATTTCTTGATTTAACAATTTTAAACAGTATTCATTAATGTCCTTTTATGTTGGTTAAGGACTTCTTATTTTTAAATAGAGCAATAAGTTTATACAGCTATTTCTTGATTTAACAATTTTATTTTTTTTAAAGATTTTATTTATTTATTTGAGAGAGAGAATGAGAGATAGAAAGCACAAGAGGGAAGAGGGTCAGAGGGAGAAGCTGACTCCCTGCTGAGCAGGGAGCCCGATGTGGGACCCGATCCCGGGACTCCAGGATCATGACCTGAGCCGAAGGCAGTCGCTTAACCAACTGAGCCACCCAGGCGCCCTTGATTTAACAATTTTAAACAGTATTCATTAATGTCCTTTTATGTTGGTTAAGGACTTCATTCTCTTATAACACCACCCTCCACGCTTTCTCTCTTCCCACCTTCCCAGTATAGTTATATTATAAAGAATTGTATACCTGTACACAAATATTCATAGCAGCTTTATTTGTAATAGTAAAAAACTGGGAACAGCCCATCAGAAGGCAAATGAATAGACACATTGTGATACATCCATATTATGGAATACTACTCAGCAATAAAAAAGAAATGAACTATTAATACATGAAACATGGATGAATCTCAAAATCCTTATACTGAGTAAAATAAGCCAGATGAAAAAAAGAGTACACATTGTATGATTAAATTTATTTAAAATTAGAGAAAATGAATCTCTAAAGACAGAAAGCAGATCAGTCCTTACTTGAATTCAGGGGTTGAAGGAGGGGTGGATTATATGGAAACTCTGGGAAGTGAGGGAAATGTTTATCCTGGTGAGGGTTCCACAGGTATCTACTTAGGAAAAAGTTCATCAAACTGTATACTTGGCAGTTTATTGCAAATCAGTTACACTCAATGAAGCTGTTTTTAAAGATTGTTAAAGCTAATTGAAGGTTTTCAGCATGGGTAACTCATTAGTGGGATGCTGTCCCTACTATAGGTATGATCAGATGAGCTGGCTTTTTTTTTTTTTTAAGATTTTATTTATTTATTTGAGAGAGAGGGAGAGAGAGAGAGAGAACAAGAGAGCACAAGAGCACAAGCAGAGGGGAGGGGCAGAGGGAGAAGCAGACTCCCTGTGGAGGAGGGAGCCTGACGCAGGACTTGATTCCAGGACCCTGGGATCATGACCTGAGCCAAAGGTTGACACTTAACCAACTGAGCCACCCAGGCGCCCCTAAATTCCTGTTTTTGATGGTGCATTGTGGGTTCATAGAAAAATGTACTAAAGGAATCTGGCAACTTACTCTCAAATGGTTTATTGAGGGGAAAAATTTTTTTTGCATTTTATTTGCGATTTTTCTGTTGACATCTGAGATTTCTGTAAAATTGAGTTCTCAAAATTAAAAATATATGGCATTAATTAAAATGTTACAAGTTACAGTCAAGATTAGAATTATCTCTTAATTGGGGCGCCTGGGTGGCTCAGTTGCTTAAGCATCTGCCTTTGGCTCAGGTCATGATCCCAGGGTCCTGGGATGGAGTCCTGCACTGAGCTCCCTGCTCAGTGGGGAGACTGCTTCTCCCTCTGCCTGCCCTTCCCCCTGCTTGTGCTCACTCTCTCTCTCTGAAAAATAAATAAAATCTTTTAAAAATGTATATTAGAATTATCTCTTAATTATTTTTGATTGGACAGTAGTATTTCTTTGTATGAGTCCCTATTCAAAAACGAGGTACTAAGACTTACTTAGTTGTAGCCAGTTGATTCTAAAGAATGTGTTAATGGCTTTAAGTGTACAAACAGGGGAGTGAAGAAACTAAAGAAAACAAATTGTCAGTATGTGCCTAATACAGTTAGGAGCTTTCTGAGAAGAGGCTGGAGAGAGGGGAGAGGAAGCCTTGGCTGACCAGATAACCAAAGTATTCTGGACTGAATCCATGTTTGCCAAACAACTCTGGTTATGACCTGATTTTCCAGCTGTTGTAATCTTCGGAGCAATTATATTCTTATTGTAAATAAATAACTTAGCAAGTTGCTTTATTTGTTTCTTGTCTTATTAGCACGAGGAGTCTGACCCTGAATCTGCTCACCTCTGGGTAAACTCGAAAAGTCAATCCTAGACCAGTGTGACGTGAAGGAGATAAAAATGTGTAAAACTCTGCCTGCTGGCCTGCTGGCTTCTATCACTGCCACCTCTAGATCAATCGTCCGGTTACTGACCAGAGTATTTACTTTGCTCTAAAGCTGAAAATAAAACATCCCAAAATTTTAAGCCTGGGAGGGGTGGTTTCACAAGATCTTCTTCAGTTTTCTTTGTATTATTTTTCTGTATAATGTGACTATATTAAATACATTATTTCCTGCCTCCCATCAGGTCAAGGAAATAAAGCTGAATGAAACCAAAATTAGTGTCTTGGCCTTGTGGACATTTTCCTTTTAATTTTTTTTCTAAGTTTATTTATTATTATTTTTTATTTATTTATTTATTTATTTTTTTAAAGATTTTATTCATTTGACAGAGAGAGAGAGACAGCTAGAGAGGGAACACAAGCAGGGAGAGCGGGAGAGGGAGAAGCAGGCTTCCCGTGGAGCAGGGAGCCCGATGCGGGGCTCGATCCCAGGACCCTGGGATCATGACCTGAGCCGAAGGCAGACGCTTAACGACGGAGCCACCCAGGCGCCCCTATTATTATTTTTTAAAGATTTTATTTATTTATTTGACACAGAGAGAGACACAGCGAGAGAGGGAACACAAGCAGGGGGAATGGGAGAGGGAGAGGCAGGCTTCCCCCAGAGCAGGGAGCCCGATGCGGGGCTCGATCCCAGGACCCTGAGATCACGGCCTGAGACAAAATCAGGAGCAGGAGGCTTAACCAACTGAACCACTCAGGCACCCCAGTTTGTTTGTTTGTTTATTTAACTAATCTCTACACCCAACATGGGGCTCCAACTCATGACCCTGAGATCAAGTATCACAGGCTCCTCTGACTGAGCCAGCCAGGCGCCTCCAATTTTTCTTTCTTTCTTTTTCACATAGTAAAGTTTTCCAGGGTGGGATCCAATTCTATTCAATTAGCTTTAGAAAGCACACAGAACATACTGTGTTCAAGATCATTTAGTAAATCCAGGGGCGCCTGGGTGGCCCAGTTGGTTAAAGGACCGCCTTCGACTCAGGTCATGATCCTGGAGCCCTGGGATCAAGGTCAGGCTCCCTGCTCAGCGGGGAGTCTGCTTCTTCCTCTGACCCTCCCCCCTCCCGTGTGCTCTCTCTCTCTCTCATTCTCTCTCAAATAAATAAAATCTTAAAAGAACATTTAGTAAATCATTTTTTCACTGACTCAATCTGTGCCTAAACCCTCCTATTTCCTTGCACCATTTGACTATCTTTTCCTCTGCCTTACTGTCAAAACCTCTGTAAAGGTCAACATCCTAATTCAAGCCTCTATCATATCATAGCCGGACTCATGCCCATGGTCGTTCTTTATTTACCACTCCATCCAGCTATCCTATGTATTTTCATTTCACTGAACAAATATTTATTGAGAATTTACTATTGCCAACCCCTACTTTATTTTTAAGATTTTATTTATTTATTTGAGAGAGAGAGTGTGTGTGTGTGAGTAGTGGGAGGAGCAGAGGGAGAGGGACAAGCAGACTCCGTGCTGGGCATGGAGCCCATGTGGGGCTTGATCACACCATGACCTGAGTGGAAACCAAGAGTCGGATGCTTAATCGACTGAGCCACCCAGGCACCCGTTCCCCTACTTTATCTTTAGACACACCAAAGTGTCATGCCTATCATTTGTCTTCCTAAAACATTGCTTTGCAAATGTCACTGCACTTGCAAAAACCTTTAATGTCTACTCATTAAAGTCAAAACTTCTTAACCTCAACTCCATGGCCCTTATTCTTCCTCAACTTCATCTCTCAGAATATTATTCAGTTCCACCATTCCTATTTCCAAGACCTATCCGTTTCCTTAGTTTTGGCCTACCTAGGGTGCATTTCCACAGCCCTTTTGTTTAGTTAATACCTAGATTTATTCTAGAGGTATTTGTTGAGTATTTATTAAGTGCCCAGCTACCTTACCTTCAAGATAAAGCTAATTTCCCATTTTCTCCAGTTGGGCTTCCCTTTTCTAAATTTCTCCAGGTCCAAGTGTCATTTACTTAGCACAAAACAGGGTGGTCAAGAGAGCTTTATTCTGGCCCAGGAAAACTGCAATCTAGCTTTTATTACAGACTGGTTGTGTAACCTTTAGCAAAACATGTTTCATCTGTTTCCTGGCAGAGGCTACTTTCAGCTCTAACATCCTTGGCCAGGGGTCAGGAAACTACCACCCAAGCCAAATCTGACCCACCACCTATTTTTTTTTTTAAGATTTTATTTATTATAGAGAGAGAGAGAGCAAGAGAGACAGCACAAGTGGCGGGAGGGACAGAGGAAGTGAGAGAGGGAATCTCAAACGGACTCCCCCCGAGCGCCCCTTGCAGGGCTCCATCTAATGATCATTACCTGAGCTGAAATCAAGAGTCTGGCGCTTGCTTAGCCAACTAAGCCACCCAGGCGCCCCAGACGCACTACCTATTTTTGAATGGCCCTTCAGGGAAGAACGATTTTTATTTTCACTTATTTCTTTTAGAGAAGGAGAGAGAGCGCGCGCGCGCGCGCAGAGGAGGAAAGAGGCAGAGGAAAAGGGAGAGAGAAAATCTTAAGCAGGCTCCACGCTCAGCCCAAGGCGGACACCGGCCTGGATCTCACCTCCTTGAGATCGTGACCTGAGCGAAATCAAGAGTCAACCGCTTAACTGACTGGGCCATCCAGGCACCCAGATTTTTTATTTTTAAATAGCTTTAAAAGGATGCAAAGACATTTTGTAACAGGTGAAAATTATCTGTAAACATAAGGTTTTATTTGCACACGGTCACGCCCATTTACCTCCGACTTTGCAACTGAGACTTGATGGCCCACCAAGCTCCCAAGTTTTACTACTTGCCCCTTACAGAGAAAGCTTGCTAACACCCATCTTGGACTTCTGCCTAGATTGCTGTACCTACCGCAGGTCATTGTCCTGGCTCCCTCATTAGACTGCGAGCTTCTGAGTGGTGTACTCTCGTCTGACCCTCTGAGCGCGGTGCCTGCTTCACAGTAACCTTTTAAAACGCCTGCCGCAGCGGGGACACTCCTTTGGCTAGGGAGGTGGGACAGTGACGATTTAAGAGCCATCTGGGTTGAAATACCGACGACTTGAGAAAGTTGATTCCCCTCTCTGCCCGTTTCCTCCTCCGTGAAATGGAGGCGCAAGGGAGGCTGGTAGTGAGGCCCAAATGAGCCAAGATGGGGGAAGCACTCCGCAAGGGGAAGTTACTAATCTTTCCCCGACCCCATGCGTCTCTGAAAGAAGCACTGAGGTCAGGCGCTACTTGGGAACCGGGACACGGCCGCGTGGACATGGGGGCGGCCGGCGCTGGGATCGGGAGGCGGGTCGTGCCGGGAGCCGGTGCGGCTGTCAATCAAGTCCGCCGTGGGGCGGGGCGGGGCGGTGCTTCCGCCTGCGCGTGGTCGAGCCGGGCCGCTCGCCGGCGCCCGGGACTGTGGGGAAACCGCGCCCGCAGCCGCCGGCCGCGCGGCCGGACGAGAGGGCGATGGAGCTGGAGCCCGAGCTGCTGCTGCAGGAGGCCCGGGAGAACGTGGAGGCGGCGCAGAGCTACCGGCGGGAGCTGGGCCAGAGGCTGCAGGGGCTGCGGGAGGCGCGGAGGCAGGTCGGAGGGCCGCTCCCGGAGGGGCGCTGAGGGCCCCGGGGAGGGCGCGGGGTGCCCGGCGGGTGGGTGGAGGGCTCCGAGGGCTGCGAGGGGCGGGAGAAGGGAGGAGGCTCTGAAGGTGCAGGGAGACCCAGCAGGGTCCGGGAACTAAGGTGGGTGCTGGCTGGCGGGGGTGGAGGGGTCTTAAGGCGAAGAGACAAGTTTGGGGGATCGAGGGAGAGTGTGAGGGGGCGTTCCCTAAACTGTGTGGGGCGGTGATGGGGATAGGGGTGGAGGTCGGGGAGAGCGAGCGAGCAGAGCAAAAAACCGAGGGCGTCGTCACAGAGGGTACTGAGGACTGGGGAGAGTTGGGGGAGGTGGAGATTCTTTGGGAAAACCTGCCTTGGGGATGGAGACTGATTTTAGAGAGCCTGAATGGGATATTGGAAGGGGGGGACTAAAGAGACAGAGACAGGGTAATTGAGAAGCAGTAGAGTTAACACTAAATGAATGGGATTAATGCCTGAGAGTAGTATTTAATATCTCATGTAATCTTGAATGCATTAAAAAATACCATTTAACATAACCCTATTCTAGATGGTTTAGAATTTTTAAAATGGAGTTGTGTTGGAAGGGCAAAAGAAGGAAATTGAAATACTTGAGGGATAGAATACAAAAGTGTAAGGAAATGGAAAAAGATTTAAAGAAAGGAGTGCTGAAAGGAAAAGCTAACTATACTTTCAAGTGACAGCATTATCTGTTCTATGGGGACATGGTTATCAAAGATATAGGAACACCCTGGAACATATACAGAAAAAAGATATAACCCACTGCCAATGTGTAGTGGGACAGATAATCCTCAAGCAACTATTAACACAGGATCTTCATAAATGCTTTTGGAGTGAGTTTGCTTCCATCTGAGTGGAATCATTTGAGTGAGTGGGATTTTTCTATATCACTTAATCTATTTTTTTTTTTTAGATTTTATTTTTATGTAATCTCTATACCCAGTGTAGGGTTGGAACTCACAACACCGAGATCAAGAGTTGCAGGCTCTTCCAACTGAGCCAGCCAAGCACCCACACTTGATAGTAATCTATGTTGTCATTCTAGTAACTGCCATGCTGCACAGAATCTGAAAACGTACAACTGGTAGAATAGTGCTGTGAAAATGGTACCTTTGGATATTTTCATCATTAAGAATACTTGGCACGCTCTGGGTTTTCTATATTTTGAAAACCTTGTAGAGTTCCTGTAGGCCAGGCATTATTCTGTAGTCTAGTAGCAAAACTGGGAGCAAAATCTAGTTATGGTTATCCAGTTTGATGAATGCTTTTCATGGCCTTCCAATGCATTCATCTTGATTTCCATTTGAAAACCTCTGCATTATTCCTTCTGTTTTGAAACAGAGGTTCTAAATCTAGGACATTGTTTCGAAAGAGATTAAACTATCTCTTATTATATGATTAATGTTTCAGCCAGTTAAGATATCTTCCATATGAGCAGGTTTATTTAACTGCATCTGCAACTAAGAAACAATAAAGACACTAAATGAATGAGTTTAGCACCTGAGAGTAGTACTTACTAATTTCTTGTGTTAATTTTGAATTCACTTAACAAATTTAGTATGATCGCATTCTGAATGGCTTAGAATTCAGTTTCCAGACCTGTATTTTAAATTTTATATCCAATAATGTAAATACAGGACATACTTTCCTATAAGTTAGTGTAGTTCATTATGGGTTTTTGTTTTGCTTTTGAGGCCCATTGTCTCAGGCTTGAGACAGAAAACACCAAGAGAACATCCATCACAGTTAGGTCCCTGATGACATTGCCTTCTGATTAGACTAATAGTGTACTTCTCTTTTGTGAACTGGATTGTGTTTTGTGCCAATTACAAGGCATATCTCCTCAAAGCTAATTCTAGTGGATTTTGTACATTTGGGTTTGTAGAATAAGTCCTCTGTCAGCTTGGATTCGAAGGAAGGTCCATGTTACAAGAATGTTATCAAAATAAGCAGCTGCTTTTGTTTGGTGGTTAGGATATTTTTAGGGTTCCAGTCATTTTCAGAATAACTACTATTTGGCTTTTCAGTCAAAGATTTTGCATGGGGGAAGGATGAGCAGAGAGGAGAGATGCTCCCCTTTGTGTATATTTTTTACTTGCTGATTTTATTTCCTTTTGGCATATGATTTTTTTATTGATATATAATTTAGATACCATAAAATTCATGCCTTAAAATGTGCAATTCAGCATTTTTTAGTATGTTCTTTTTTTTAAAGATTTTATTTATTTATTTGACAGAGAGAGACACAGTGAGAGAGGGGACACAGCAGGGGGAGTGGGAGAGGGAGAAGCAGGCTTCCCCTGAGCAGGGAGTCCGATGCAGGGCTCGATCCCAGGACTCTGGGGTTATGACCTGAGCCGAAGGCAGATGCTTAACTAACGACTGAGCCACCCCGGCGCCCCATTTTTTAGTATACTCACAAAGTTGTGCAACCATCACTACTACCTAATTCCAGAACATTTTCATCACTCCAAAAAGAAATCCCATACTGACAACCACTAAACTACTTTCTCTATTTGGATTTGCCTATTCTGGACATTTTGTATAAATAGAATCATACAATATGCGGTCCCTTGTGACTGGCTTCTTCAACTTAGCATGTTTTCGAGGTTCATCCATGTGGTAGCATGTATCAGTACTTTAATTCTTTTTGTGGCTGAATAGTATTTGTTGCATGGATATACCACATTTAATTTATACATTCATCAATTGATAGATACTTGGATTACTTTCACTTTTTGGCTCTTATGAATAATGTTGCTGTGAACATTCATTTACAAGTTTTTATGTGGCTATGTTGTCAGTTCTTTTAGTGTATACTTAGGAATTGCTGGGTTGTATGGAAACTCTATTTAACTCTTTCGAGCACTTGGCATCCTGTTAGTCTTTGCTTTTGTTTCTTACGCTTTAAAAGTCTCTCACGAAATTTGTCTCATGTTAAGAAACCATGCCTATGAAAATCTAGAAGGAGAAGAGTAAAAATACTTTGTTATTCTGTCAAAAACAACTGCCATCGTGTGGCAGTTTCTCTTCTTGTGGTTAAGTTTAGGCCCTACCCTCTGTCTTTACAGAAAAGGAAGTGCTGTGCAGGAATGCATGGGTAGTCTTTAACTCTTACTGTTTAAGTAAGTTAAAGGCTAGAGAGATATGTTCATTGTCTTCAGGAAATCAGATCATGTTTACAGCCAGCCTGGCCTAAATGTTGTTGAAATCATTAAGAATACCTCTGTCTAGTTCCCTGGAATCCTTGGTACTAAGATGTAAATACCAAAGAAATTAACACCCACTCTCCTTAAATACTCATTTGTTCATTCACCTAGTAAATATTTATTGGGTGGGTCAGAGATGCTTCTAGGTCTTAGAAATACCATGGTGAGGGAAATAGACTAGTGCTCTCATGGATTTACTCTTCCCTTTGTTGGTGGGTCATTGGACTATTGCTCTTAAAAACAAAACAAATAGGAAAAACCTAAATTCTTGTGTCCTCATTTTTAGATTTCACTTCCATTGTGTTTTCATTACTTGTTTATTTGTACGGGGTTGGCTTTCCTGCTCGTTGTAAGTAGAGATAGCTGATCGAGATGTCACATGGTGATGTCAGCTAGCCAGTCAGGTGCGCTTCACAGGGTGATACTGCCTGGGTGATATTGCCATTGTCTGGGGCCTAATCCTTAAGCTTTGCAGGTCCAGAAACTGCATCTTTGTACATTATCAAAGGGGGATTAGTTTGAGGCACTGGAGGTGCCTACAATGAGAAATACCAATGTTCTACAATGAGAAATACCAACTGTTCTGTATACGGTTACAATTCATGCTAGAAAATGAACGTGTTGGCCTTCATGTGCCTTTTAAATGTGATTCGGTGTCTCTCAGGGCATTGATGAGAGCAAGCAAGTCTCTGCTCTTTCAGAGTAAAGGGCCAGATCCTGTTACCTAATTAAGATACTATTTGGTGAGGAGCCTGCCTAGCTCTGGCCAGTGGTATCCCTTTGATCCTCGCTACCACAAATGTGATCCATCACCTGAGAGCTTGCGAAGAATGCAAGAATCAGACCAGACCTACTAAATCATAATCTGCACTTGAACAGGATTGTCAGGTGTGATGTGTATGCACATTGAAAATTGAGGCACACTGTCTTAGAGTATACCATTACCAATTTGTCAGTTCTCTACTGATTTCTGTAGTTTAATCTAACCATAAGTGTGTTGTTATAAATTGCCATTGTTTATCCTCAAGATTAAAACCTGGCTGGCTCAGTTGGTAGAGCTTGCGATCTTAATGTTGGGGTCATGAGTTTAAGCCCTGCATTGGGCATAGAGCCTCCTTTATTTATTTATTTTTTTCAGAGCCTCCTTTAAACAAAACAAAATGTCATTTGAAATATCATAGGTTTGTTACGTAATTGTACAGTGATATACAAGTGAATAATTGACATAAGCTAGCACTTGTTCTAGCATGTCTTAACATCTGTAATATGACCCTTTGTCTTTATAATATTTTTTCAATTTTTAATAGTTGATTTCAGACAATTTTTTGAAGATTCAACTAGCAGTCTTGATATTCTTTTTTTTTTTTTAGATTTTATTTATTTATTTGACAGAGAGAGACACAGTGAGAGAGGGAACACAAGCAGGGGGAGTGGGAGAGGGAGAAGCAGGCTTCCTGCGGAGCGGGGAGCCCGATGCAGGGCGATCCCAGGACCCTGAGATCATGACCTGAGCCGAAGGCAGACGCTTAACGACTGAGCCACCCAGGCGCCCCAGCAGTCTTGATATTCTTAATATACAATACCATGTCTTCTATAGATCATTATTCCCACGGGGTTTGAAAACACATGGCATACTAGTTAAAGACTGGGACAAATCTAGAATTCAGCAGGGGAAAAAAATTATTTCAGAAAACCAGGGCAGGAAGTCTTAGTAGCTCAGCAAAGAAAAGAATGCTATTATTGC